TCAGCGCTTATGCTCCAGAATAAAATTTGACAGAGGCCTACTTTTCCCCCCTCCCCCCCCCCGTCTCCCCCCCGTCTCCTCCCGCCCCCTGAGGGCACTCCTGTCCAAACCTGTGGTGTTGGTCACAGATGAACCCTTTGTCCTCGTTGCCCTCGTTGTCCTCGTCGTCCTCGTTGTCCTCGTCGTCCTCGTTGTCCTCGTCGTCCTCGTTGTCCAGTTGACCACTCCACCACGTCCCGGTGGTCGTTCCAGAGTCGGTCAGTCTGTCGAGACCCGTCTTTGAGGGAGACAGAAGACGGCGGTCTTTAAACGACGGCTCGTTCAAACCTGGGACGTGTCCAACGGCCGAGTCGTCCAATCAAATATGATTAGCATTTAGGCTAACAGACATGAGACATTTTTTTTTTTTGGAGTGTCTTCTCCATTTACGAATCAGAGGTGTCGATGGTTACGTGTCGGGGGTGTTGGCGCGCTAGTTAGCGGTTGCGTCATAAAGGACGCCCGGCGTCAAATCGGCGTCTCATTGGCCACGTCCTGTTCGCGTTGACGTCCGAATGAAACGCGTCCCGGTTTCCCTTGTGGTTCAGACGTTGCTCTGCGACTCCGTCCGTGTGCGTTTCGTTTCGTTGGACGTTAAGAGTTTTCCCCGAACTGCGAGTTGAACGTGAAGTAGTCTTTGAAGTAATACTTGAAGTAATACTCATCGCTGTGTTTTAATTGGTTTAGATGTCGACTGTTTGTTACTCATTTAATTATTACTAATAATTATTTTTCATCCGTCCATCCGTCCATCCGTCTGTGCGTCCATCCCTCCGTGCGGCCATCCATCCATCCATCCGTCCATCCTTCCATCCATCCGTCCGTCCGTCCATCCGTCTATCCATCCGTGCGTCCATCCATCTATGCATCCGTCCATCCGTCCGTGCGTCCGCCCGTCCCTCCATCTGTCCATCCATCCGTCCGTCCGTCCATCCGTCTATCCATCCGTGCGTCCATCCATCTATGCATCCGTCCATCCGTCCGTGCGTCCGTCCGTCCGTCCATCTGTCCATCCATCCGTCTATCCATCCGTGCGTCCATCCGTCTGTGCGTCAGTCCATCTATCCATCCGTCCATCCATCTATGCATCCGTCCATCCGTCCGTGCGTCCGCCCGTCCCTCCATCTGTCCATCCATCCGTCCGTCCATCCGTCTGTGCGTCCGTCCGTCCGTCCGTCCGTCCATCCATCCGTCCGTCCGTCCGTCCGTCCATCCATCCGTCCGTCCGTCCGTCCGTCCATCCATCTATGCGTCCGTACGTCCATCCGTCTATCCGTCCGTCCGTCCATTCATCCGTCTGTGCGTCCATCCCTCCGTGCGGCCATCCATCCATCCATCCGTCCATCCATCCGTCCGTCCATCCGTCTGTGCGTCCGTCCGTCCGTCCGTCCGTCCATCCATCCGTCCGTCCGTCCGTCCGTCCGTCCATCCATCCGTCCGTCCGTCCGTCCGTCCATCCATCTATGCGTCCGTGCGTCCATCCGTCTATCCGTCCGTCCGTCCATTCATCCGTCTGTGCGTCCATCCCTCCGTGCGTCCATCCATCTGTCCATCTGTCCATCCATCTGTGCGACTCTGGTTTTACCGTTCCCTCCGTCTTCTTCGTGAACGCGTCGCGTACGCAGAAGCGTGCGATGACCCCCCCCGGGTAAAGTAGTGCCGTGTCGATGGAACTCTCCTCCCGGCGGCGTTTTTCGGGGTTTTTTTTCTCTGCTCAGTTTTTTTTTTTTTTTTTGGTACTGACTCGTTGCGTAATCAAACTAGCTTAGGGGAAAAAAAAAAAAAAAAAAAACACCCCC